TGTACTCCTCGGAATTTTGGGAATGCACACACATGTGCCCAGCACGATTTTCAAGTCACCAGGTCTGGGATTCAAACCATAGTTGATCACATGGGAATTGAGCTGCCTTAACCACCATGCCACCTGCTGGTCCCATTAGTATGTACTTTTATAAATATTTATTTTGTGCTCTGGATTATAATCCTATACCATTTTGTCAGTTTTGTTCTGCAGATTGTTCTAATTTTAGCCATTGGGAACTCTTTCACTTGGTTCCTGTGATCTAGTTAAATACCCCTATATTGTGTGTGTGTGGCGGGGTGGGGGGAGTTTGTTTTGTTTTAAAGAATTATTTTTTTTAATTTTATTCACCTTTTTTTTTTTTGATTTAACGAGAGAGAGAGAGAAAGTGAGACAGTAAGCTACCAGGTCCAAGACTCAAACTGTAGTCAGTCAGGTGGGAGTCCAGTGCCTTAACCACTACACCTGCTGGCCGTGTGTGTGTGCGTGTGTGTGTGTGTGTGTGTGTGTGTGTCTGTGCACAAGAACATGCACACGTATGTTTAACACTTCCACAGTTCCTAACACTATAAGATTTTCCAGGATCTTTTCGTATATTCTCTGCCCTGGGCCCAGAATTATCTATTTCTCAAAGAGCCCTAGTTCCTTTTGTTAGAGAATGATACTGGAAACCAAGATATGTCCGCCAGGTGTACTGCTTGCTATGGGGAGGAATTGCTGCTTTGGGCCTGAGTGGTTATCTGCAATCTCCCCCGCTCAGGTTAGGTTACAACTTGCTCACGTGTCAAGCTAGGCTGCAATTCAGTATATACGGAGACTGCCTGGGGACAAATTTCATCACCCAAATACAGAGGCTGGTTTAGGCCAATTTATAATCATTCAATTCAGGGGAGAATAACGGTAGGCTGGTTAAAATTTACAAATGAGGATTTTTGCAAGGACAGGCCGCAGTATTATTTTGAGGGAGAAAAAATGATTTTATAGGAATGACTGTTAAAGTTTTCTGTGGTCTTATCTTAACATATAGATCTGAATTTCTTTATTTTTTGTTATTTACTATAGGGTGTATGTGTTGGCAGAGAGGGGCAGACAAAAAGAATCCCTTCTCCATTCTCCTCTCAGGGTTTTGGGCATGCACACACACCTGGTGGGATTTTTAGGCCTCAGGGTCTGGGACTTGTACTGCACAGTTGGACATGTGAGATCCAGCTGCCTTAGTCTCCACAGGTAATGCTGGCCCTGGAAATACAGTAAACCTGGAACTTAGATATTTGGTCTTGCATATTATGCTTTGGTGTTTTATCACTTTGCTGAGTCATAGTACAGTTCTTTTCCTTTTATTTTTTTCCTATCAGGAAGTATTTAATGATAAAATGAGGTCAAATCTTAAAATTCCTAAATATATTAGTCAAATATGGTAAAAACAGCGAACAGTTGCTTTTCACATCATGCTACATGAGTGCACATGTCCAAAATCCAGAGAGGCGAATGGAGAAGGAATTCAGTATGGCCATCTCCCTTGGGGGTGATTTCTCACTTTCCCTCTCTCTGTCTTTACTTGTGTCTCTCTGGCAAGTGCACGCACCCTATTGTTGGGTGGGGGAAGACCTAAACAATGATAAAAATAATTTCAAAATTATGTAGCAGGCCTGGAGGTGGCGTGGTGGTTGAGGATGCTTGAGTTCCACATGGCCAACCATGGTTTGAGTCCCAGACCAGGAGGCTTGCTTTCTCACTTTCCCTCTCTCTCTCTCTCGTTCTCTGTCCCTCTCTGGTGGAATTAAAAATTAATTAATTAATTAAAAGTTAAATAAAATAATTCTTAATAAAAAATCCCTATATAACTTTATAGTAAAAAGTATACTTCAAAGAAATTTTTGCATCAAAGAAGAAATCAGGATGGAAATCTGGTGATGTTTTGCAAAATCAGAAACTTGTGAACAAAAGGGAAAGGGATATTTTTAAGGCAATCCTTGGCCTCAAACTATAGATATCTATAAAATATGAAATTTGAAAAATAATACCATAAGCATAAATCTCGAGTAGTTTAGAGAATACAACAACAACAACAACAACAACAACAACAACAAAACCCCAAGAAAGTAGAATAAAAATAAGAGTGGAAAAATTAAAAAAAGAAAAAATAAATTATACACTTATTAGAAAAGATCAAAGGAGTCAACAATTGGATTTTTAAAAGTGCTAACAAAATACACAAATCTCTTATTTCCCATTTCTGGTTATTACAGAATAATTGATATCAGAGCATCTCTCAAAGTGAAAAAAAAAAAAACAAAAAACAAACAACTGCATGTGCTGACCAATACAGTAGAAATATGTAGCTGTTCTAATAGAAATAAAAGAAGTCATAGCAAAGCCAGTAGGTGACAAGGTGGTTAAGGTGCTGGAATAAAATAAAAATTAAATAATATAATAATAATTATAAATTTTTTTAAAAAGAAGCCACAGCAACTAAGTATTAAGGGCAAAGATTATGTAAATTGTACACACTAAAATAAACACAAAATTCTTCATTAGTTTTATCCTTAAAATACATGCCAGTTCCTCAAATTTATAAGCTACAAAGCTCAAAAGTCACCTGATAGGAAGCTAAGAGATCAAAAAGCTAAGCAGAAAGTTTATGCACTGCTGGGGACACAAAAGCAATTGTCCGAAGTCTACTAAGGAGAAGGGATGGAGTCTGATAAACCCTCCATTCCTCTCCTTCTGGGCCTGTAACATCACACACACACACACACACACACACACACGGCTCTGCTGTGTACACTGTGCTATGCTATGATAGCTGTATACTCTCATGATCCTCTCTTAACTTAGTTCCGATGCTTCAGATACACTTGAGACATTTGGGGAGCTGTTATTACTTGGGCATTGCTACTTCATTTTGATAAGACAAATGCGACTGTACTAATGCCATGATTCTTAATTTTTCTTCTGTTACAGGGAATTCTGAGTATGTTGATGATCTTCAGCATTATCGAATTCTTCATTGCTCTGTTTTCCTCAGTTTTGTTATACTAGTGAGACAACTGCAATTGCAAGGAATGGTGTTGAAGAGCACTGTGAGAATAAAGATGTACCATAATATTGCTTAGTGATGAATTCTGCCTGTGAAGAAAAGACAAAAGAAACATAGAATCTTAAGGCCAGTGATTCTTTGATGCAAAGAAAAGTGACTCAAGAGAAGGGGGTCTGGGAACATCTCCCCAGAATGCACGGTCACTTTGATATCATCACCTATGTTAGCCATGCAGTCTTTCAACTAAAGGTCAGCAATGGGGTGCTGTCTCTAGACAAGAGGTATCAATCAAAGACTAGGGTCTGAGGTAACCAAGTCATCTTGGTTCTTGAATTTGATCTTGAACTTCTCTGGTTCATAACATCGCCTGCTGAGTTTTCCAAGGTGCTACCCAGTGGCTCTTACTCCATTGTTATGCAAAAAACAAGTTGATTGGAAGAATACTTTGTCCCTATATTTTACATTGATGATCCAAGATCATCAATCTCAAGAATTGCACTAGAATAGCAACAATAGAAGAGTAAAATTAATGAAGGCAAATATTGGTGGAACCATTACTGTGCTCAAGGTATCCTGCTAAGTATTACATATGTGCTACTGATTTAATCTCACAAAAATCCTAAGAGGTGAATTTTATTCTTATTTTACAGGAAGCAGAGGCACAGAGAAAGTAATTTCCCCAAGATCACCTATCTCAGCATGGTAGAATTATAATATTAATAGATAGTCTGACTTCAAAGCCCAAGGTCTCAAAGTCCAAGGTCTCAAACTCTGTATCAATGTCTCTTAAGCATCATAGTCTCAGAAACCCTTTACTACCTTAAAAATTATTGGGGACTCATTGCACAGTAATACAGTAATATTTTTATTTGAAAAAGAAAACTATATTTTCCAAAATAAAATAATGTGTGTGGAGAATGGCTTTCTCCTCTCCTCCTCTCTCTCTATCTCTGGAAAGCACATGTGCCCTCTAGCAAAAAAAAAAAAATGTAAATACTGTCCATGTTATAAGACTTTTACATGGTCTGTGGATATTTTACATGTAAGTGAATATTCATCTAATGTGACTTGTCTGTTAAAAACGTAAAGTAGTTCCTCAGAATAGAAAGAACACTCAAACTATAATACAGCTCTTAAGTACCCAAATTTTCATGTTTCTTACTTTTTAAAATGTTTTTTAAAGTTTATTTCTTTTATGAGAGAGACAGAGAGAAAAAAGAGAGAAGGACGACAAGCACCCTCAATGTGTCTACTCCGTGAATGCCCGCAGCCTTCCTAGCTGCCCCGGATCATGATTGCACACACTCTGCATACACAGGTCATCTGGGGAACTGAACCCACAGTCTTCCATTTGGATTCAACATGACTTGAACAGCCCATTGCCACTGGAGTATCTTAGCATAAAGTATTTATACGCACCACCTTAGGATTATTTCTGACCTCTAACCGAATTCTATTTGTAATTAGATCTTTAGTCTCACCTGTAAGAGACCTTGCATCTCTCTTACCAATATTCTCTGAAACCCATACCATCTAATGGCAGATAATTCTGGGTTCCAGGACTTTACTAAATGATAAGGAACACGCCACAATCTTCCAATACAATGTTTAGCCCAGAGATAATCATCTGGATGGGAGAAAGAGTCAGGACAGAACCATTATTTCTCATAGCACTACAGAGGACAGAGCAATCAAAAAGAACCAGCCCTATATCCTAGGGATGTGGAGACCAACGACTAAAGAAAAAAAGGATATGAATAATTATGAAGTATAAAGTAGCTTTGAAAAGAAGTCATGTTTCAAGGATTTAAAAAAAAGGGGGGGAGCAGGTGGCATGGTGTTTGGGGTGGTTCAAGTCCCAGACCTGGAGACTTGCTTTCTCACTCTCTCTCTCTTTCTCTCGTGAATTAAGGAAAGATAATAATAAATAAAATTAAATAATTCTAAAAAAAAAGAACAGGGTCAGGATGGTGGTACCATGGTAATGAACTACTCTGCAAGGCCTACCCACATAGGAAAGTTCCAGATTCATGTTTATAGATCGCCCTAAGTAACTGGACACATGTGTCCATTACGTGGGGCTGGCTGAGTCTGGGCATGGAAACTTTTTTAAGGGGTGACTATCCCTCCCTCTCTCTTTTACTCTCTCTTGCTTGCTCCCTCTCTGTTTCTGTTTCTTTCTCTTTCTTTCTTTCTTTCTTTCTTTCTTTCTTTCTTTCTTTCTTTCTTTCTTTCTTTCTTTCTTTCTTTCTCTTTC